TTATTTACATTTTATTTAGCTGCTTCAATAACCTAATTAAAGTCCAAAGATGCGTCTCTCTATATATTTTAATTCATTTTTACCCAAGCCATCCTGGTTCTAAAAAAAACATCTACATTTCGATTAATAATTTCCTTTAACAGGGAATGCGATAATCATATTTCATAATAAATACAATATGTTATCTCGTCTAGACAATAAAAGAGAATAGACACGTTAAGAGACACGTGCCACGTGTACAAAGGCACGCTAAGAGACACGTGCTACAAAAAAGAAGATGCATTGGTTTGGTATCTCTTTTTGGACTTATTCTGGTTTTAAATGATACAAATTCTAAAATTCGAAAAAAAATTAAAAACAAACAATCTAGATATTCTTTCACGTTAAAATTCTTACTTTCTGACATCACTCTTATCGATTAATTACTCTTTAGGAGATTGAGAAACTTTGAAGGAATCTTGTAGCTAAACGTATTCTTTAAATTTATTTAGGAAAATACTTTTTTTTTATTTTCATGATTTTGACAAGAAAACTGTGTGACTATCCAGCGTTAAATTTGCTTATCTCAATACAATCGCGTAATTCATTAGTTCCTTGGATAGCAACGGAATAAATAACATTATTGATTAAAGAATTGATACTGTAAATGATATGATTACGAAAATATTTATTTAGTATTTAGTAGTTTTAAAAATATTTAAAAAAAAGTCTGAAGGCTTTTAAAGTTCAATTCTGTAACATTAAATGTTCATAGAAAACAATGATTATGATTTGTCAAAAGAAAATCTCTCTCTCTCTCTCTCTCTCTCTCTCTCTCTCTCTCTCTCTCGTTAAAGAAAATGGTAAAATTAACATTTTCAAGCTATATCTGAAAATGTTAACGTTACCCTTGTCTTTAACGAGAGGTAACATTAATATTTTCAAGCTTTATCTGGGTCCTTCGGAGGAGACCTTAAAAACCCGAGGCCCCGTGTCACGACAGGCGTTGGCACGATAAAGATCCCTCATTGCTCAATGGCCCTGAGTGCCTAATAAAGGTCAAAATTTGAAGCCCTTCGCCGGTATATGGTGACGTCTCCATATGAGTGAAAAATTCTCGAATGGAACTTAAAACAACATACAATCAATCAATCAATCAAGCTATATCTTCTTTCAAAAATCATATAATACTTTTAGCTATAGAAATAAATAGAGGATATTCAATGTTTTGTAGTTGGATATGGAATTTATTTCACGAGTGGGACAGGATTTTTTTTTATTTTTTGCGAAGCACGAGTGAAAATATAAAAAAAAAATCCTGTCTCACGAGTGAAATAAATTCCATATCCAACTACAAAACATTGAATTTTCTGTTTATTACATTTTCTTTGATTTTCCCTTTGCCTCTGTCTTTTCATAGATGAGCAGTTGAGACGTCATAGCTGAGCAGTTGTGAGATTGAAAACATTTGATATATAATCAATTATTACATTTTCAGTAGTGAAATACTGTGATTCATTTATTGAATAAAAGTGATATTCTCTCACAGTGTGAAAGGATACCAAAGTGATATTCTCTCACAGTGTGAAAGGATACCAAAGTGATATTCTCTCACAGTGTGAAAGGGTATCAAAGTAAGTAAAAAATAATTTCTGGCCTGTAATAAGACAGAGATAGTAACTAAACCATCTTAATAGAGACTAAAACTGCCATTTCCTTATGATATGAAACATTTCAAAAAATATATTTGTTCCATGATATTACAGATATGACTATTGTTCCTGTAAAATGATTAAATCGGTGTCAATTCACATGAAAATTTCATGTAGAATTTCCTTGAATAAAATATGTCTGGTGGTTGGGCTTTGTAATCCTTACAAAAAGGGGTAATATCACCAGATTCTATTATTGAGAGGTACAGTCATAAATTTCTTTGTTTTCTTTTGTGTGGTATACACTGTTAAAATTATTTAGGGGGATCGCCCTACCATCCCTCCCCGCTCATACAGGCCTACAATATTGCCTTTCCAATATCTTTAATCAAATCTATATGCCAAAAAAAAATGTACCCTCCTATACCCTAGAGCTTTTTTTCCAATTCAATGTTGATTGTTTCCATTTAACAATGAGAACCAAAAATAATTGTACATACATGTATACCTCAGTGAGTTTACAATCAAATGTATAGTGATAACAGATATTGCATTTGCTCATTCCTATGTTAACAGGGGCCATGCAATCTAACTTGTTGTTTGGGCTATATGAGCCATGCATCTGGGCTTTAGTAGCTCCTGTTAATATGTTAATGTGACTAATCATGGTCCTACTGCTTCTGGGAAGATTTTTTGAATTTGTTTTCTCTATACTCCAATGTAAAACTCGAATATCCAATTGTTGCCCTACCCTAACTCCTTGGTCAATTTGAACAAGTTAGAATCCCCTCTATGACAGTAGTATTGTTTAATGTTTGATATTTTGTGCCTAAGGAGTTCTTTTGAAATATGCAGCCAAAGTTTCATCGATTGTTAATTATTTCCCCTTGACAGATGGTGAGGTTTTTCATTCGAATGAATCCTTTTTATCAAATAATGTTTTTATTTCAGTTTGGATGATACGATCCAAGTGGTTTTGAAGAAGTAGTCGAAAAAGTAAAATTTACGTACAAAAAGACGACAGACACCTGGCAATCCTCGCGCAGGAAAGCTCATTAGAGCTTTTTGCTCTGATGAACTTATAGATGGTTAGTTATTTCACACACTAACACAATGACATTATAAGCATGGATATTTGTAAAATGTAATAGGAAATTTCCACAATAAATCGTGATGAAAGGTTGGTAAAATATTATGTACAAAAAGTCAATTTGGCAGTGAAATGCACACAATAATATCAAAAATAAAACATTCATACAAAACAGCCACTAATAAAATAAGTACAGAGCATTAAAATCTGCAATGCCTTTAAAGGAAAGATGTCTTAAAAGGACTTTTAGGGCTTTTGTCAAGGAATATTTTCTCCTTGTTTTGGAAGCTTGATTTAAGGTATCCGACCCATGATAGCCTCAGATTTCATGAAAATAAATGCGAAACAGATCAGTAAATTTAGATATAATTCTCATGTTTTAGTGTCAGTATTTAAGATCAGAAAATTGTCCAAACTATGATCTTGTCTTGTCTGGAAGATTTATCCAGGTAAAAAAGGTAAATCCTTTTCTACTCTGAAATGTCCTGAATTAATAGCAGAGAATTTTATAAATGATGGATATTTCAGGTTACAAAATTAGGCTCTAATATGTGTCGGATATCTTGAGGCGTTATCTTAATTTAAAACAACAACTGACGATAAAAAAAACGGTCCCATTGTGCCAGTGTTGCTCATTTGGTTATTAAAAAAAAAATTAAAAATTCAGTGTCCAGGTGAAATAAACAAAATGTTTATGAATCTTGGTACACATATATACCCTCTAATACTACTAGTAATTAATTTTGCTCATGTAGTTACAATCATCATCTCCAGAAGATTTTTTTGGATATATTGAAATGAATATACACCAGGAATTAAAGCAAAAGCAAACCTGCCTACCCTTCCGCTTTTGGCGTAATTCTTCCGCTTTTTACCACAAAATTACGCTATTACGCAATTTAAATAAACTTAACGCTTTTGCAATTTTGGTTTAAAAAACTTTTTTTATGAACGTCTAACTTTGGAATTAAAGTGCGACCTACTGAATTGAAAATGAGAAGTTTAATAATAATAACTAATAGAGGATTTCGGTTCTTCACGATATGATTATTAAGGATATAGTAACTATATTCTCACATTGCTTAGAACCGTCACGGAAGCTCAATCGGTAGAGCGCTCGCTTCGTGATCGAAAGTATTCGGCCGCGACTGACCTAAGTCGATAAAAAAATAGGTAGCAACTTTCCTTCGCCAGGCGCTCTGCACTTTGAAGTGAAAGTTACGAGTCCTTCGGATGAGAGTGAATAATTCTCGAACGGGACGTTAAACAACATACAATCAATCAACCACATTGTTTAAAACAACATTGAGACAAGGAATGTAAAAAAAACAATAATGTACGATTTGTGTGAACATGCAAATGAAACTCTTCAATTATGTGATTTGATACAAATTAATCAAATGCTTCATTAAGCGTGTGAAGTTTAAATTAAATTCAATACAGGATACTGGTGTTCTTCAACATATGGGCTTTATTTTAATGATTTGAAAAAGAAACTGTCATGCTTGCTTTGTTCGATGATGTACAATAACAGTTGTTTTAGAGAATAATATCATAGTAAAACATCAAACTTTAAATGCATGAATGATTTCGCCTTCATCTCTGAAATTCCACCAAAATGTGTATTGAAATTACACCCTTGCAATTAAACGGGTAGGCAGGTCTGCAGAAGCTTTGAGAGCATTGAGGAAATAATTCAAGGATGTGTTATCTGATATTTATGAAGCTAGTTTTTCAAATGAATTTATCTGCTGGACATTCTTTCCTTCTGGTGTTTTTCAAAAGTCTAAGATAAGTTTCAATCCTGTTTTTCAGACTATAATTTCATTATTCTTGATCAAACATTTAAGAAAATCGGTACATAGATATACCTCATTATGTCATGAAATTCTATTATCACATTTTTTATACAGGTATATTTCCATTTCTATTCAGGGGAACTGTTAAAACTGCAAAAAAAAAAAAATCCGAAGAATAAGACATTTGAGAGATCAGTTCTCAAAACTGGATGCAAAGATTTTCATTAAACTTAATAGTTAACAAAAGAGTCAGCGACCTTGTATTTCAATGAATCAAAATGAAAAATAAAGCACATGTCCCAAATCAATTTTCAAAAAATTATGCACAGTAGATTCAGAGAATGAGAATTTTGTAAAAAAAAAAAAGGCTTATGTGAACATTGGACAATGCCGCCGCTAAATACCAAGGCAAACGTCAATAGATGTCATTAGCTCACTTCTTTTGTGCCAGGTGAGGTTTAAAAGAAAAAATACCCTATCACAAATATCAAAAACACATTTCTGTCCAAATCATAAATCGTTTCAAAATTATAAATGAGAAAAAAAAACTGTTCCATTTACAGTAGAAGTGAAAATATTCCTTCAAATTTCATCCTCACTCAGCAAAGAATGTGTATTCAAAAACAGTTTTTCCACTTTGCCGATGATAACGGAAACATGAATTGGAAATTGGAGGCGGAAGTGGTGAAAACTACGGTTTTTCATGATTTTTCACCCACAAGCTCCACCGACGTTTCCTTCTCTGAATTCCATTTTGCCTTTTCTTTTAATTCATATTGCTTAACCTGTAAGAAAATAAAATTTGCTTAAAAAAGACATATGAATCAACCAGAGATATAAATGGCATTAAATGCCAACATATCTTTCGATTCCTTAATCCTGGTTCTGAAGCAAAACATTACACTTCATATATAGAATCCCCCCTCCCCCCATATGGAATCGCCACGGAATATCAGGAAAATTCAATGCAATTTTCAAAAGATGAAGATATCATGGCGGGCTTGCGGCGACTAAAGCGTTTCTAAGGAACTTTCCTACGGAGTTCTCTCTGACGAACTCCCGCTGAGTGCTTATGACATGCTTATGACATGCTAGGAGTTTTCAATTCGCGTTCACACTGCGCTTACTGTGTGCACATAATAATCTTCTGCCACAGTGACATCTTAGACTCCGAGAGATCTCTGTGCAAGCGCCGTCCACTATTTTGAGTGCCCAACGGATCTCCTGTGGCACTGTTGGAGACCTTACCGCGCTGTTACGGTGACCCTAAGGCGTTTTAACTGCGTGTATATCGGAACGCAGAGCCAAGGAGCATACTTTGTGATTGCTTAAAGTGCTTGCCGTCGCATGACATTCTAGGCGACTCAACCGCGTCATTTGGAGATCCTACCTAGTTTTTGTGGCGCTAAAGGGGACTCTACTGTGCGCACCTCAACATTCTGTTTTAAATCGCCATGAGGAAACAGCCTCAGCTGGTGGAGTTTAACGCATCGTTTATAAACATTGGCATGAAGAGGTTGTTAGGAGTGCTGCCTTTTATATCGAATACTTGTACATGTATCTGTATCTATGCACCCCTCTAAAATAAGAAATTCTGCATCTACGCCTTGACTTCTGTAAACAAAACATACACTCACCCGTTTGGAGTCGAACATTCGTCTGAGAGGAAATAAATATCTAAATTCAACGTCATCTGCAGATTTTAAGCCGCCTACAAAAACAATAAGATCAAATTATTAACTATTAGTATTAAACCTATCTGATTTCTTTTTACGGGGATTTGTTACCTTATTTTTAGGATATTTCGAGAGAGAGAAAAATACACAGGCATAAAGATATAATTTTAGTCAAAATAGTGAAAAAGTTCAGCAAAACTATTAATTCACACACATGTTAAGTTAAAAATAATTCTATGCATATCAAAGAGCTTTGCAAAATAAAAATCCCCCCCCCATCCACATACATGCACGCACACTAAATATAATCTTTACTTACCCGTTATCAAACTGACGATCATTCCCACTGCTATACAGACAACCATACCTATAGTCGTGTACCACATATAGCTGATCTTGTACACACCAAGGACCTCGTGATCTCTAAATATAGTATCAAATTTATTCTAAATATAGTATCAAAATATATCTTAAAATATAGTATCAAAATTATGTCTAAATACATTATCAAGATAGAGGCAATTTAAAGCTTATCGAATTCAATATCTTAATGAGTTTCAACAAATATGCTTTCATCATGCCTTGAAATATACCAATTGCAAAGAATTTTAACTCATTTTTGTTCCATCAAATAGGGACCATATTGTAATGATTTAGATAAGACACAGATATTTTATTGGTTGATCACTAAGTTCTTATTTTACACACAGGTACTCTGAAGTTGATATTGAAATAACTTTCATGTAAATTTTTTGACGACGTTTTGTCAATTAATAAAAGTTATTCCATTCATATGCAGACTCACATCGTCGCAAACCACGGCCAAAATATACGATCCTCTCCCGTAGGAGAAGCTATATGCGGACTCCGGACCGTGGCTTGAGACGATGGCAGACTCAATATACCCCATGAACACGAAATAAAACTAAAAGACACCAGAGTATGCCACTTCGTTTCTTACTTGGACGTTTTACTAATTGTTGACGTTAATGGCCATCTAACAACTACACTACTTGTATATAACAAACAGGATATTCACGGATTACTTCAGCGTTTCCCATCGTAAACATTACCCAATCATGTTGTAATATTTCACCACTCAAAGCTCCTCGGATGGCTCCTACCTCGCACACTAACCTCGGACCTAAACGTTGTTCAACCATGCTGACGATACAGTCATGTGATCTTATTTGAAATTCCTCTGAATGTCATACCTTTGAAATCTGAGTTACTTTGTGGCACGCCCAACACTATGTTTTTGCTTTCAACGACTACTAACATAAGGTTGTAATCAAAACCAATATACATGTACAAGGAAGAATTAGACAAGTTAAAAAAAAAACAACTTTTTGAAGAGCTACATGCATATGAAGAGCGAAATATGAAATGAGTTACAAGGAAGTTTCCGGCGGAGAAATGTATCGATTTAATGCATATTCCTCCACCAATCATATCCGAAGTTTGTATGGAGCGTAGCGGTGTCAGCCGAGGATTGCCGATTGATATTCCACTATCATCTGCATACATGTATAATGTTTATGTCGCCAAACTTATTCGGTACGTAAGAGTATGTTCTGAGTACACCAATTTTACACCGATTCAGCATTTCAGGGATTTACAGGGATTTCAACAACCTCATTTAAAGTCAGCGTTTTGTAAAGTGTATAGACTTTCTACTGACTTTCTACTGACCTTGTTTGCAAATATAACCTATTGTTTACAAGATTTTATAAGATTGTTCACTGTTCGTTATCTTCACCTTTTTCAAAGATCTACGATGTTTTATCGAATAACAATATTCATTCTCATTCATTCGTTGATTCGATATATCGAACAGAACTCGATATCAACTCCACCAAAAAGTTTGCCAAAACTGTTTCAGACATGGATATTATATTGATGGCAACTTCAACTTTTTAACATGCATCAACGTCCCCTATTTATTTAGCAAGAATCAATTATCATCTACATATTATGTTTTCAAAATTATAAGATCTTCAAAACGAACATTTTCTACACCAAGGCAGGATGCTGAAAAATATTTTGATGTTACAGGGGTATCGACAACTTCGTTTAAAGTCATTTCGCAATTTGTATAGTCGTTTTAATGACCTTTTTGCAAATACAGTTTATAATTGTTAAGTTTATTATAGGAGGAGTTGTTAAGAAAAGACTACATGTACATTTAGTCTTGGCAGGCCCGTAGCAACGGTTTTAAAAGTGGGGGAAATTGGGGGGGGGGGGCAACCTTTAACAAAAACTTTCTTAACTTCACAAACTCAGAAATTTGTCAGTGCTCAACCTTAAAGCAACAAAGGGGGTGGGGGGGGGGGCAACAAGCATTTAAATGAAAATTTACAATAGCAAAATACTATACCCCTCGTTTTACGGACTTTCTCGGAGAAAAGTATGTTTTTAGAACTCCCTTATAAGTCAGACATATAGTTTTGAATAAAGCTTTCAAAAAATGCGAATATATTTGCTTTCCTTACCCTTCGCTAGATTGCATCATTTCAGCTGAGATCTCTGTTGTTGTGTAGTTAATTGAGTATGTTGTTTCTGATCTAAACGCTCTGAAAAAGGGCGTAGCTTTTCATAGTAGTATATTTGCATATATTGATGAAAAAAGGAAAAATATAACTAAAGAAAATAATGAAAATTAGGAGCTTTTGATGCATGGTTCAGGTACAATGATATTAATCTAATTTGCTAAAACATTCAGGCAATTAAAGACGCATGCAGTATAATTGTTTCTTCAGTTGTCATTTATACAGTAATGTGAGCAAAAGATGTTTGCCTTTTGTCTTCGAGGAATATTGCCAAAGATGGAAAGTTGGAATTTCATAAAAAATGTATTAACTACAAACCAATACTATAGTAGAATATTTTGAATATATACTTCCGCTGCGATAGTTAACATTTAAATAATCTAATGTTTTAAATCACCCGGGTGATTGTAAATACAAAAATTTTAACTACATCCTAAAAGCTTCAAGTGACTCGTTGTAAATGTATTGCTATAATACATGTATGAGAGAAAAACAATACTATAAACTCATACAAATAAAGACATAAAGAGTTCAACTTCTCATCCCCTTGCATGTTTCCGACAAGTCTGTACTGCATAAGTTTTGATTCGAGTCGTTTCGAGATGATTGGTTTTCATAATAAAAATTTCATGTCCAGCAAAATCAAAAAGTTATCCCTCTATATAATTCTTTCTACCTAAGGAAAATGAAAAAAAACTTTATAAAAAAATGTTGCTTACTGAGTATTGTTGATATGATTGATTGAGAAGGAGGTGCAGTTTGTGACGGGACCTCCGGGTAGTCTCGGGGTCACGTGCTTCTCCACGACTTTTCCCAAAGCTATCCATAGCAGGAAGATAAATCCGGAAAGACATCCGACTATAGCACCCTGTCAATGATCGATTGGTTGATTGATATATTGATTGACTGATTATCGATATGAAATATTAGCATGTTTGATGGATGATATGCAAAAACAGTGCAATTTATACAAGAAACGAAGAAGATAAATTTAACGAAAATATTGATTTACATGAAGCGACCGAATTCAACGAATAGAAATCGATTCAACAAAACATTCAATATCCATTAAAGGTCTAAATGTATCTCGGCATGAGTTGTATTGTATAGCATCAGGCAATTTGTACAGAAACACAAACAGACCAACCTATTAAAAAACTAAAGAAACTGTTTTATAATTATTTACCCAATTATAGATTTTTGAATTCAAGAATGGGTTGATTTACTGATTGTATGTTGCTTTACGTCCCAATCGAGAATTTTTCACTCGTATAGAGACGTCACGATATACCAGTGAAGGGCTTCGAATTTTGACCTTTACTAGGCACTCAGGGCCATTGAGCAGTGAGGGATCTTTATCGTGCCAACGCCTGCCGTTACATGGGGCCTCGGCTTTTAAGGTCTCACCAGAAGGACCCGCAACTTTCACTTTAAAGTGCCGAGCGCATGGCGAAGGAACAGTTACTACATTGTACATAATTTTTATCGACTTAGGTCAGTCGAAGTCGAGATTCGAACTCATGACCTTCCGATCACGGAGCGAGCACTCTACCGACTGAGCTACCGTGAACGGTGAATTGAAGAAAAGACGAATTTTTTGAAAATAAAATTATTTCAAAATATCGCACCATAAACTTCCGAAACTTTTGAGTTACATGTATAAATAGTTGTTTTAAATAATCATCATAGATGTAATAGACTAATTAAACATTATCGTTGTTCTGTGTGATGCAATCTCTGTCTTTTTCTGGCAGTTGAAACAGATTTGTTTCTTAACCTGTATATTCAAACCGCTTTCAATGCATCTTCAGTGTCTTTTCTTATATGATTGATAAAACAAACCATTTATGAAATATTGTATACCACTACCTTTAGTCAAATGTATTTGTTAAAAACTCATCTGGCATTTGTTAAATGCTTATGTATCTTTCAATGACTTGCAAGAAAATTTTAAATCATCTTAAGATCTTTTTTAAAAAAAAATTAGATAAGATTCGATCGTCAATATCATTCTTTTCAAATTTTGTTCTCCGTTTTGACAGAAACATGCATCCCCATCAAATTCTATTGTAAAAGAAAACATAATAAAAACAATTAAAAGCCAATAAAACAGTGCTAGCTGGTAAGTGCATAAAAAGGCGGCTTCAATTAACAGCTTTGGCCAACAAGGTGACCATTAGGCAACAGGATATTATTGGATTTATAAGCCTGTACATCATCTAAAACAAATCTCACATCAAAATACAAAACAAAGGAAATGACGTTAGTTAGTTATCAGTCTTGTGACAATAAGAATGAATAACCAATTAGAAAAAGCGAATGGAAAATTTGAATGTTTTTGCTTTGAAAAAATTTCAATAGATTTCTGAATCTTAAAACTCAGTAGGGGGATATTTAAGTGTATTTATGAATAAGGAAATATTAACGATGATTTGATTTCATCGATTACGAAAGTAAATTAAAATCAGCAATTTTGATTTTTAACAAAATACCTTAGAATTGGCAGATTTAAAGACAGCGCCCATGACGAACATTCCTAAAATTGGTCCATTAAAGCACGACGATACGGTGCTCGTCATCTTGGAGGAATAAAAGCAAATAAAAATCTTAATTACCAATAACATCAATTAGTATATATTTATGAATCCATACGAAATTCTGGAAAAGACTGTACTAAATACGTAAGAAGGATCATTATGTAAGACAGATACAATGCAACGCTAACATTGATATTCATCTACATTAAACTTTTCTATAATCAAACAAAAAATAATGTATGGTGTCTAAATTTCCTTTTATGGTACATTAATTTGTTTGAACTTCTTTTCGACTAAATGGTTTTGATTAAACCTTTAAAAATGGTATTTATTATACCTTAAAAACATCGTGGTAATAAAAAGAGGATCGTTTTCCCTTCACATGACTTAAGAATAAATCAATTAATAATAGATTATAGTTTTATAAAAAAAAAAAAAAAAAATATAGAATTAATTAGACAATTTATTTTAACAGGATCAGATTTTACATGCATCTTTTATGAATCAAGAACTAAATACCTGAACAATGGGACCACCAACTAGATAGGCAAGGTATGCAAACCCAATGGCTAGTGCTCCAAATATTATTACTGAAACAAAATAGAACAAAATTATAAATAATAGCGCTCAAAATATATTATGCGATATGAGATTGAATGGTGTAAAATAAAACTTTTGATTGTATATTGTTTTACGTCCCATTCGAGAATTTTTCACTCATATAGAGACGTCACCATATACCGGTGAACGGATTCAAATTTTGACCTTTACTCGGCACTCAGGGCCATTTAGCAGTGAGGATTCTTTATCCTGCCAACGCCTACCTTGAAATGTGATCTCGGTTTTTAAGGTCTCATCCGAAAGACCCGTGACTTTCACCTCTAGTGCCGGGCGCTTGGCGAAGGAACAGTCACTACCTATGTTTACGTCTTATTTTTGAGGCGGCGCGTCAAACGAGAATCGAACCCAGGCCTCCCGATCACTAAGCGAACGCCCTACCACAAGGCTATCGTAACCGGTCTAGGAACTTTGCGCTCAGTCGGTAGAGCTGTCGTTCACTGATTTTTATTTGAGAACTAAAATAAGTATAATCGTGTACTTATTTTAATTTTCAAATAAAAATCAGTGAAGGACAGAGCGCTCGCTCCATGATCGGAATGTGGTGGATTCAAGCCCCGGCCGCGACAGATTGAAGTCGAAAAATAAACTCCGAACGCAACACTCGATATCTCACTTGCAGCAGGCAAGGCCAATACTTTTGCTTTTTGCCTTATGAACGCTAAATAAAATGCCATTTTTATTTATAGCATTTACCAAAAAAGTTTCTATATTTTCATTATCGGCCGCAGCAGCGGCCGATCTATTTGTGGTTGTGTTAGAAAGTGCACAAGGGGAAATGAGACGTTACATGCATTCCTTTACTAGTTCAGTAAAATAATTCTTTAATGATTACATGTTTAAAATCATGAGTAAAATATTTTAAAAATTTGCTTTAAACTAAGTCTTAATTGTTGCTATTATATGTTCAATTCTATTTTCATTTTTTGCCTGATAATTATTAATTTATGATTATTTAAAAAGAGTTTACAATAGGTACATGTACTCCCCAACCAGGGAGTGTATAAGATACGAACGCAAATCGTTATGATTTTCCGAATAATAACTAATAGTGGTAAAAGTGCATGTTGAATAAAAATTGAAAAGTTCCTCAATTGGTAAAAATTGTTTTGAATATGCTACAACTGAGAATGGCATAAGGATATTTTTTTTCTACATTTTGCACCGCGCCGTGCAGCATAGCCTACTCTGCAGAAATCATGGGCATCATCACGCGACAAAGATCCAGGGGTCATTTTGAGAGGTCTACCTCATCATTTTGATGTCAATAAATCCTTACGTTATTATACCAATGAATCAATTTAATGAACAAATGCACTAAAATTTCTATTTATTTACTTTCATTCTATTTATTTCTTTTTGGCTTCAAAGACAGTCTAATATAAAAATGATTACTAATTCAGCTTTGAATATCTTGTGCTTTCCTTGGATGCTCAATTGTGAAAGTACTTTTTGAAATGCTAAATTTTGTTTGCGGCCGATTTGATATCGATTAATTGTTGCAATAAATATAGAAGAGCAAAGTGGTACTATTCAAAATTCGGGGAAAAAATTGGGGTCAAGACCCAAAAGTATCTTCCATGAACCATAACTTTTCGTTGCTTCCTTTCTCCTCTGTGTAAATTGACCGATGTGATAAAGAAGTTTTACCTAGAACTTTTCCGAACAGCGTAGCCTGGTTTTCAGAGAATTTCTTCCCAAAGTGAGGCTTAATGAAATCCTCCCAAATTATCGTTGGTAGGCTATTGAGACCGGAAGAAAGAGTACTGAAATAAAAAGAATGGGAAAATGAGAGAAAGATTTCACAAGGGCGAATCCAGCCAGGTCATGGATTTTATAAGAGCTTCTCTAATTCTTTGATTTTGACTGTAAATGGTGATATGTAAATGCAATGTAAGAGTATCTATATATTCTCGTCAAAGAATATTGAACGGGAACCAAACTGCAACAAAAAGTCTCTCAGGAAAATTCCGCTCTTAATTTTTTTTTTTTTTTTTTTTTTTAAAATTCATGATTTAGGTGACTTTCATAAATTAGTTATATTTTTATTACGAAAAATAATGGTTAAGGGGTCTTTCATTTCTTCGGGAACATTACACATAAATTTGAAAAACGAACTTAATTTGCACAAACCTTAAAGAGGCGCTGAACAGAGCGGCAAGGAACACACCCGGCATTGCTACAATGTTGTCGAATATATCCATTACAAAATATGGCAAAGCCTGAAGAAAACAAAAATACGTGACCATAATTCAACTTTCTCTTCATTTTCATCGGAACATTGATCTCCTTGATTCAAAACTGTCAGTGCATGATTTGTAAAACAAGCAAATAAAAAAAATCAAACGGATAAATAATGTTGAGTATTGACGTATGATGATGAAATTGTAACATACCGGTAATATGTTGGTGATGATTTTATTCTGACAACAATAATTTTGGAAATGATTATGATGACGACAGCGATGGCAAAGATTAAGAGAGAAGTTGTTTAAATAACCTGCTCTGGTCGGACGATGATATTTTTCGCCAGTGGATCACATCCTTGCTGGACATTGTAAGCGAAGGCCATCAGCCCCAGGAAACAGGAAATAGATCCAAACAGCGCAAATCCAGGAATGGCAAACATGGACGCTCTATAGAGAGTATTAATTCAGCTATATAAGATTTTGGAATCTAGAATGATCCCTTTTATATGAAACACATACTCATGATACGAACATTTATTACTGACATAATTAGTTGTCAAATAGTTTTTTTTTTTAAATCGTCAAGTGAAAATAGAAAAACAGAGGCCTGTTCAACAGAGCGAGCGTTCGCGAGCGCTCGCCAAAATTCGTTATACTTCCAACAGAAATGTTCGCGAGCGCTGTTTTACTGTACCACTTAGAGTAATTGACGGGCCTTTTTATTAGAAGCCATTTTAATATTTAATGTAGAAATGACAATCACAGAACACGCCGATATTAACTTTTATAGTTCAACAAGCTGAATTTTCAAGTTGCATGTCATTGAATGAAAAATAATGAGATTTTTGAAACAAAATGCCTTGCAAGAATTTTATTCAGCTGATCTGTCTATAATCCAAGAAATGAAATTGAGAGGTGCTTATAACTCAAGACAGTGGAAGTAAATAAATAAATTAATGAGCTTAATGAGCTTTTTTTCTTCTTGGTTATTTTCCTGCAGGTTTCAAAATCAAAGTCCATACATTTTTCAATTCAAAATGATTCATTTTTAAAAAGGGAACAGTAAGTTGGTCGATGTTTTTTTTTTGTTAGTCGCACAAAGGCAAGCAAACAAATATTCATTATAGCCCCATATAATGCATTTTAAGGTCCATTGATCCTTTGTAAGAGAGGCAACTCTTACCGGTATTATAAATGAGTTTCATCCCCTTTAAAATGTTCAAGATAAAAGAATTTATCCCAGCAAATTAGACTGAAATAATATTATTGTATGCATTTTATTGTCTTTGGAAAATGGCGTTAAAAATGTTATACGATTTTAACAGAGGGACAATGGACCTTAAGTTCTAGATTAGTTTATTCATATTTTACATTCGGTTACGTACTGTACGGCTTTGCTGCTGGTATGCATTTTATTGTCTTTGGAAAATGGCGTTAAAAATGTTATACGATTTTAACAGAGGGACAATGGACCTTAAGTTCTAGATTAGTTTATTCATAGTTTACATTCGGTTACGTACTGTACGGCTTTGCTGCTGGTGGGCGTGGACTGTACGGCTTTGCTGCTGGTATGCATTTTATTGTCTTTGGAAAATGGCGTTAAAAATGTTATACGATTTTAACAGAGGGAGAATGGACCTTAAGTTCTAGATTAGTTTATTCATAGTTTACATTCGGTTACGTACTGTACGGCTTTGCTGCTGGTGGGCGTGGACATGATTCTCTGGACTATCATCTGGCTGTAGCCTAAGGAGAAAAACTGGATCATGTTCCCGATGACTAAGCCCCAGATAGTGTGTCTAACAGTGATGTCAGGACTGAACCTAAAAATAATCTAAATTATATCCCACAAGTAGATCAGAGCTTTCAGAAATCAAACAATATCGTTGAATATTATGATATTATAAATTTTAATAGATACATTATAACAATGCAGCAAAACACGGTTATACATGTACGTAGTTGGTATTTGAAGCATGTTTGATTTACAATGAACGTTTGACTTTGTAATAAGCAGGATTTCGCTGAATTCGTGCTCTCATTTTACAACTATTATATGAGTATACTTTATGTTTTATGTTTTGTTTAACCTTTCATTTCAAATGTACATGGCATGGCGCTTGCTTGTGAATCATTCACTAAAACCTGCGGTAAAAAATCTTTAATTCAAACTTTTTTCTTTCAATTTGATCTTCAAAGAACACGAAATAATGAACCCTGACCTTCTCTTAGATATGGGATGAAAACACGAATACAGAATAGAATTATTAGATTCCTTACTCATCGAACTGGATCCGCCCATACATCTCATTTATTCTCCACACCTCGCTTGATCCGCCAACTTTAATCAGCCCCTATGGTTAAAAAAAAAAAAAAAAAAAAAAAAATCATAACTAAGATTTAAGCATTCAGTCCACAAACTTGGACAGTATACTGTTCTTTCTGACGTACATGTATTTTATTTCTTACATAAAATCTGCAACAAGACTATACTGCAGATTTTATTTTAGAAATAAATATGTTAGAAAGGACAATGCCCTAAACTCTACACCATTAATCATGCACTTTACTAGATGTCTGTGATTTTGTTAAAGAGTTATCTCTCTTAGATTGTAATTTCATATTAAATAATTATGTGTAATACATTAAAAATAGGATGCGAAATACTATATTGCAGGTTAGCGGTGGGAATGGGATATGGGGGCGTAGGGAGGGGGGCACATGTGGAATTCATAATAAAATATATCTATAAATTAACAAACAGAATACCATCACCTTGGTTAATTATCGAGTGATAACATTTGTATTAAAATATGACTTATTTTGAACAGCAACATATACCTGTCAGGCCGGTAGGAGCAAGAAAAACAAGAGGCCCAGGGGCCACATCGCTCACCTGAGCACTATGGCTAGGAAAAAGCAGAAATCAGTTCAGTCTTGAAAGGTTGAAAAGTTTAAATAAAAAAGTGGTTCGGGGGGGGGGGGGGGAGGGGGGGAGGGGAGGGTCATGAATTGAACAAATTTGAATCTACATTATCTGAGGATGCTTCCATTTAAATATGACCAATCATGGCTTTGCTGTTCTTGAGAAGAAGATTTTTAAAGATTTTTCCTATAATTTCCCATGTAAAACTTTGATCGCCCATTGTGGCCCCATCCGACCCCCGGGGGTCATGATTTGAACAAACTTGAATCTACACTATCTGAGGATGCTACCATATAAATATGACCAATCATGGCTATGCTGTTCTTGAGAAGATTTTTAAAGATTATTCCTATATATTCCTATGTAAAACTTTGATCGCCCATTGTGGCCCCACCCGACCCCCGGGGTCATGATTTGAACAAACTTGAATCTACACTACCTGAGGATGCTTTCACATAAGTTTCATATTTTCAAGCACAGTGGTTCTTGAGAAGAAGATTTTTTAATGATGCCATTAATTTTTCACGAATTCTTAATTATCTCCCCTTGGAAGAAGGCGTGGCCCTTCATTTGAACAAACTTGAATCCCCTTAACCCAAGGATACTTTGTGGAAAGTTTGGTTGAAATTGGCCCAGTGGTTCTTGAGAAGAAGATGAAAATGTGAAAAGTTTACAACAACAATAACAACGACAACGACTACAACGACTACAACGACGACAGACAACGGACAAATTTTGATCAGAAAAGCTCACTTGAGCCTTTAGCTCAGGTGAGCTAAAAAGGGGGGGATTTATAATTAACGATTGTATATCCTCAATTACACATGTACTCTGATGATTTTTTTCGTAGCTTTATTTGCTTGTCAAGGAAAAAAAAAAACACAGAAATTTCTCCGTATTGGCATAGATCTCTGAATGATAAACCAATAAAATTGCTTCCTATGGGTCTGCCTGCATTTAAGAGATAAATCTAATTTTTGAGAATTCATGAGGACTTGAACGGCTTCACGCCGTGTACTTAGTATTTCATAAAGTCTTATATTTAAATTATTTTTCTTATGACTTGCCACATATTTTTGTCATTCAACGATCATTTTTGGAGAGAAAAAAAAAGGCTTGCACTTCAATCACATCACAATGGAAATATTCTTACTCATCCCATGGTAGTTCATGAGAACATGATCTTCTCTAATTTGCAAAGAATATTAAGGAAAAATATTTGGAAATGTAAATATTTTGCAATTAAGGACAAGAGACCTTCCCTGATTTTAGTGCATTCCCACAATAATGATTACTGGTAAATCATCCTCCCACAACCTAGCATTAAAAAAGGTAAGATCTAGAAAATCTTGATAAACTCACTTGTATAAGTATGGAGAATATCCCAATTACAATAATGATAGATTGAAACACGTCCGCCCAAATAACTGCTTTGAATCCGCCCTTGAAAAGAAAGACGGAAAATCATGATTAATGAATGAGTATTTGGTTTACGAAATAATTATCATTCTCCTTGTGGTGAAAAACAAATCTCATAAAATCTTTTTTCTTTAAATTTGCGGTGATTCATTAGTTTTAAGATAAGTATGAAAAAGAGATAGGTTTGATCTTTATGGGGCTTTTCATGTCAAAAATGGGATAACAAAGAGCGAGGCGTTTGATAAATGTTCCATTTTCTTCTATGAAAGACGATTTATAAATAAAAGTTTGAATTTCCCTGTTGCTTTGATAAAATTTATACGTTATATAATGCGACTTAACAATGATACTCTATCAAAATGCGCAATTCTATCAAAAGTGCAATAATATTGTAATTAATTATTCAACACATCGTGAATATCTACATGTATTTTTTCTTTTAAAGCAATCTGTGCAATAATTTTTTTTACCAGAGCATATATACATGTGATCTATATGTTCATTGAATTAATTATATATTTGCTAATAATTAGCAGGATTTACTTTTATAATTAATCACACGTTCATTTTACGGCTAAAATACAATTTTGATCAAATTGCTTTTATCGACGATCAAATGATTCCAATTTAGATCTTCTTTCACAAAAACTGTACATTTATTTTCATTTAGGAATGATTCTCATCATAAACAAAATTTTGAGAGGGTATGTACTAAACATGTATAATTCATACATTTTTTATGTAAAATTTTTACATAAAAAAGTGATTTTAAAGTTGCAAAAGAACTAACAGGACACCCCTGCCCTTTTTTTTATTTTTATTTTTATTTATTTATTTTTTTTTTGAGGGGTGAATGTTAATTTGAATCAAATAAATTAAGATATAATGGTGCACGCGGATGCATGTGCCTAAATAATAAGAAGGAAACAGACATCTTACGATTGATGTGTAAAATACTCCACCGGCAGCAACGATAAGCATTGAAGCCCAAAGGGGAAACTGTGTGACTAGAAGTAAAAAATTAATTAGCAACAAATGTTTTCGATGAAGCTGGAAAACAATAATTAAACAGAGGATGAAAGAGTACAACATATGCTGTCTTTTTTATGTATTCACATAAACGCTTCATTTCTTTACGTAATATTGAAACTTTTATGAACCAAAAAAAAAAAGTTATCCTTGCATATTTACTTTGAAAGTACGGAGAGAGAGAGAGAGAGAGAGAGAGAGAGAGAGATGATTACCTGTTTTTAATGTAATTGCTGGACCATAAACAACAAGACCCATAAATATGATCTGTATAACACAAGAAAGGGTTAAAACATAAAAATTTATATTCAAGAACAATTTATAAACTGAAACCATAAAGATATTATAGGTTAGTTCAATAAACGATATAAGTCACTTACATTTTTTTTTCAATTTATGAGATTTTAACCAGCTAATGGGAGAGGACTATCTAAGTTTTTAGAACTTGTGTCCAATCCCTTTGACACATTGTCAATAAAATATGTTCAAAACAACCAGCTATTCACTGTTTTTAAAATTTCAAGCATGTATAAATGACCTTGAACTTGACAACCTGCTAATTGTCAAGGTCATCACACAATCATGTGCCTAAGGTCTTTCAATAGTTCTCTAATAAGAAAAATGGACATGGACAGTACACATGTATTTATAACTTTTATTTTGCAGTGACCTCAAACTATTCCTCTTGACCTTGAGGAAAGTGAAGTCAAGATTCATTCATAGTTCCTGCTTTAAATAAGAGCTTCAAATATTTGACAATAAACTCATGGACACAATTTCCTATCTTGAACCTTGAACCTATCAAAATAATCGTGAGTCAAGATGTAAGGCACTTCCATAGGTCTGAATCATATTTTTTATTCATAATAAATCGTTTATACAATGTTCCTTAATTACAGCATTATGACTTGCAAGGATGAGGGATGGACAAAATAGCTGTAGGAACCGGGGGGGGGGCACGGGGGGCCATGCCCCCCCTAATTATTTTGCCGATATATAGATTACAGCAACTATAGAAAACATAGATACTATATGCTTGTGTCCCCTCAATAAAAACGTCTGATCCCCCCTTTTTTTTTGCTTGTCAAGAAATTTTTGGTAGTTGATAGTACCCCCTCAACTGAAAATGTATGGCTGTGCCCCCCCCCCCTCCCCCCCTCAAACTGAAATTGCTTCCTACGGGTCTGGACAAAGGACATGTCAATGTATTCCTTAACAGAAATTTTATACGGTGGATACATGTACAATCAATTAAAAAATCTGACCGAGAATACAGTTGCCAATATAAAATCATAAGACAATTTCACTGATGACTTGGATTTTTTGAGTGTTTATGTTGTTAAAAAGAATACAACTGTAGTGCTTCTAGGAAATGAGTATAAATGCGAATGATGGGCTCTCATCTCGCAAAAGAAATGATAGGTTTACTCACATAAAGTATGATGCTCATGAACGACGCCAACAGTCTTGGAGCCTTGCTTTTGAATCGCAGCTCTAAGTACTTGAAAGAAAAGAAACATCGATTAAAAATTAATGTATTTTTCAATGGATTCTGAGAAAAAGAAACATTTTTAAAAAATCTCAGAAACCTGCTAAAAATAAGAGAAAAAATTTCAAAGCTTAAAAAACACTTACACAGTTAATAAATTGTCCAAAACTGATTTTTACGAAGAGTTTCACTTCATGTTATTTTTAATGCCCCCCCCCCCCCCCCCACCTTCCCATCAACAAAGAACAGAAAACCAAAATAAAATAGCGATCGGTCTTCAAAGTTGAGTTTCTCAACATCCCCCAAGATTTTTGGCTTATGTTATTTTCAGAAATATTTATTTCTGTTTTAATCCATCTCTTCATTAACATGATTAAGTCTCGTAGATTGAGCATTAATCATTTCGAAGTAACTATATGAAGATTTGTTAATTGCGTATGAAAATGCTTTTGTAAAGAACCAATTCTTGTTGAAAAAATGCATGTTTAAAGATGATTTGATTTACCTCAAACGCACTTCTTATGTTGAGGGGATGAAAAAGAGGGACAAGGAATACCGCAACAAGGACGAACCCCAGTCCCACGCCTATAAAACTCAGCCAGAACATGGATCCGTATATGTACATTTCACCGGGATATCCCAACATAAAAATAGATGATTGATACGTCACAAGCATAGATAGTGCAACAGGAATCGCTCCCATATTTCGGTTGCCATAGTAATATTTTTCAGTCGTGTTCTGTCCCCCAGCAAAGAAGGCATGGTATATCCCGATCCCGAGGGAAATGGCAAGGCATATGGCAAAAATGACGTAGTCCCAGGCTTCAAACGAACGTATCATGGTGACAAATTTTCAATGTAAAAAATCTTTATCTCTATTATCTGAAAAAAATATATAATAAGGTAAAAATTAAATCACACTTCTACCAATTCTTTGCCACAAAGATGTAACGATATAATCTCAAAAAATTATTAGATATATTAATTCACTGCAAACGATAAACCCACTGTTACAACTTTCTTTTTTATCCAAATTTGCAGTGGCATAAATGTCTGCAATAATAAATAACATAACATTCCCTTTCACATGCAATTATTTGTTATTAAGTCTTTATACAAATACGACCAAAATACTCTATAAAAATTGTTCCTCAGACAGGAAGGGCACGATTCTTACTCGTTTCCAGCCGACGCCCTTCGCACTTCTCTCTCTCTCTCTCTCTCCCCCCCCCCCCCGAAAAAAAAATTCTGTTCCCCACTCCATTCCATCTTGTTCAGGAAAAATTATCTCTGCATAATCACTTTCATTAGGTGGTTTTGAAAACCACGATTACATGTAGCTACTAAAGTTTAATTATAAAAATGACATTTTTGGGGTTTTAAGAATATAATTTGTATATACAGTGGAATACATGGCAACTCAGAAAAATAGCGACGTTATTTAAATAGAAATTCCCATGTGCTCTGACGTATATTTCTCATCCTAATTATTACAATATTAATATATATTAGGTAAGAAATAAATTGTATATTTATGTTGACTTTATCGCTGAACACTATTTTTTTTAAAAGTGCAATCAAATGTAGAGTTAGTGTTGTAAGGAACGACAACTCTAGTGATGAACAAAATTATTCCACATAATGTGGAAAAGCAATTTTTACACCATGTAAGAGTATTCATGTTTCAATCTCAGATTCAGATGTAAATGCAGAGATAAAAGCTCCTAAATCGAAAAAAAAAGTTTTCACCAAGAAAATTTTTTTTTAAACTCATTACATAAAGATGCATAGAGCTTTACGGCATAACCCTATGTACAATGTACTCTGAGGCTTATCAATTTTAAGGCCTCAAAGGCCTTACCTACCTTTAATCTTCCATAACACTGAGAGAAAAAAGTATACTTACTAAACATAGCAATAAAATCCCTTTCAATCTAAACAACTAAACTAGGTGGTTCTTGACGATTTGTTATTTAAATCCATGTACTTTAAAATCAAATAACGGTATAGTCTTACGTGTCCATTCAAGGCCACGGCATATTTATTCATTTAAGAATCTTGTGACTTAAATTTTAAAAAGACAAAAGCCTAACCTTTATGCATATTCATAATGGCTATAGAAGTGATTGAAGCCAGTAAACATTTCTTCTCCTTGTGTACTTAAAATATGTAAAGTAAATGATATTTTATACACAAATGTAGGTGCATATGTGTCTCAAATCCTAACACATGTACATCTACATGCACGATACTTATACTGTGAAATCACTAATTTTCGAGGGTGGGGGGTAGGGTGTGGTGACTTTTGTTGTTTTCGTGGAATGAAGAAACCCACGAATTCACACCGGCCCCCCACGAAATGTTAAAATTCTGTACTGTAGTATGTTGTTCCTCCTTTCACCACAAAATCAAACCCCTCAATTTTTTTGTTATTTTTAATCAAACCAGGAAAATTTGATCTCAAGAAAATAAGTGATTTTACAGTACCTGTATATTTAAACTGTATCAATGTCGAATGATATCACCTTTCAGTTCCCGACTTTTGATATTAATTTTCGAAATATATCACCCCATATATGCTTGAATAAACATATGTTGTAATATATCTTACTGATCTGGTACATTTCCTTTTAAAGGTCTCATCTAGAGTATGAAGTCTGATTTTTACTGAACCCCTCCCCCCTTTCCCCTTCTTCCTCTTCTACCGTCCGAATTTTGGTTCATAATTTAAAATTCGTTTTCAACTCTCGGTAGATATATTTCCAGATTTCCAGTAATAGATTTGTAATCAAAAATATATATTGAAAAGTTAAAATCAGCCGTATATGGAAAAATCAATAAAAATACATTAGTAAATGTAAGGTTCCTTGTTACTTTGATAAGAGAGAGAACTCTCAGACAGATAATTGCCTATCAACCCTTAATAAAATTGTGAAGTTAAAAAGGCTATCTCTGTCAAATTTTGCACCGCAAGTTATATGCTGAAATTGTCTGCATTTTAATCTATTTACAATTTCTTTTGAAAAATCATAAGCATTAAGAAAAACTTTATATGAGTGCTCAGAGGGAAACAAACCTTAATGAAATCAACCTTATCATGTTAAAATATTAATTCTGAGTATTTCAGACATTGTCTATAAAAATTAATGAGGTACATGTATAACTTTATTAAAATTAAATTTTGCATGAGAAAAAGAAGGTTGAAAAAAGACGCTTTGGCATACCTACTGAGAGAGAGAGAGAAAGAGAGAAAGGGAAGGAGGTATAATCATGTAAATGATAAAACATCAGAAATAAAAAAATAAAAATATTAAATGAAAAATGAAGACCAAAAAACCGAATAAAACTCAAAAATAACAAACGTATCAATTTTTGCAATGAAGTTAAACCTGGAACTCTATAAAATTGAGAATCAGTCAATATTTTATCAGGAAAATAAATTACAAGTTGCATTGCACAAATATGCATTTAAAAAACCATTAGTTTCAGGAGATGATCCTTCGTAATACGATACATTAAGTATCACTGTATTCCATTATTCGTCTGCCAGACTTGTAAATCTGAATGCTAGCACATGCAGTTCTTGTGAAAATCATTTTATGGCTTTAAAAAGAAATACAAGAAGTGTCCCTTCATTTTCAAGCACCCCTACGCCTCCCCGACCGAATTATGTTGATTTGCTTGAAATAGCTCCAAAAGTACATTCGGACTGGTCCCGTATATTGCACACATGATACTCTTGCACTCAATAATGTTGCCCAGTTATCCGCTGAGGGAAGACCTCTTTTTCATGGGCTTATTACATGTATCAACTTTCCGACGGTCCGGTTTGGCCGAATTTATGATGTGTGTTTTTCAGTATATAAAACAAATCGGAAAGGACTCTGACAGCTTTTGTTTCGCTTGACAGGACGTCAAATTATTTCTTTTCATATCAGATTCCCCTGTCGTACATGTATTATCAATCCTTGAGGTGTTTGCCTTGGAGCGTGCAAGAAACACGAGAGAGAGAGAGAGAGAGAGAGAGAGAGAGAGAGAGAGAGAGAGATTTGCAGCCTCTCCTCTGTTCGTTGTTCGTTCAAGCTTTTATGCAGTAAACTCAACACATTTGAGCATTTCTCTCAAAGGAAACCTTGACTTTTGATTTTTGTTTTTTTTTTTTTGTTTTGTTGTGTTTTTTTTTTTTTTATTATTTTTTTGTTTGTTTGTTTGTTTGCTTTTCTCCTTTTTTTTTTGTTTTGTTTGTTTGTTTTTGGTAATATTGTCCGAGTTTGCTCTTAGGGTCTCAGGTTTGATAAGAGAATTTAATACAAGTGCACGAAATGCACTTCTTATCAAATATTGAGAGAAAGAATGAGATATATATTATGTCTATGTTAACATTCATTAAAACAAATTCAAAAAAACAAACACAAATTCCATTCACGTACATTGACATTAAACAGGTAGTGCAATCTCGTGTTAGTTCTGACCCCATTCAACGACATTCTTATTTATCAGTAAAATTCCCCTTACCTGAATGTTTCAATGAATAAGATCCCGCATATATACACATGAATTAAGCGGTTTCTCCCCGAAGGAATGATGGTATTTCTGCTTCCAAGAACTGTGCAATATGCAGCACCTCTTTTATAGCAGCATGCAGCTTTTATAAAGATCACAGGTAAAGAAAATGTGCCTCGAATATCCCTATACGAATAACACTTTAATCGGCCCACGAGTTTTTAGTTTATATACAACAGCGATATAAAGCATAAAAAAACAAAACATGTGACGAATAAAAGAAAAATGATGGTTTCTTTTTTTTGATTATTTATTAACTATTGTGGGAGGATTTAAAAAACAAAAAACAAAAACAACTATGGTGTTGCACTAAAATTCTGTGAATTAATTAACCCCATATACGTAATTTCCTTTCAAGTGATTTATAAATAACTTTCAGTCATAAGCACCTTTTAAAAATATATATAATTATATAATCAAGGTTCAGTATAAGACATAATGGTTGATAAAAATATTATACGCAAAATAAAAAAAAATTAAAAAAAATGGGGGTAATTTTTGTACATCATATTATTTATTAAGAATTGCTGTATTAATTTTAAGGTAGTCCGATCCTCAGGTTCTGAAAATCAACTTTTAAGTAATTGAAAATGCTCATAAAAATGTCTCTGATTTCGTATAGATTTGCACATGCGTGTGAGCCTAATGGCTGGTGCTATTTCAGTGGTGGTGAAAATGTGATTATCTGCTTAGTTTCTGAAGCTTATGCAGATTATTTGTAAGTATTTGCTTGAAATTGTGAAACAATTAAAAACAATAAAATCAGTATGAGTGGTGAAAATAAACGCCGACTTTCTTCTAACGGCAAAACATCCAAGCCTTTGTCCAAAACTACCAAAATGGCTGACCAAGATAGCATGAATGGTTATCAGAGTGAATCTTCTGAAATGTTAAATCGTATGACAGTTGCTCAGGCAGTAGAAAGGCTGCAGAAAGGTCGAATTACATTGCAATCGATGTTAAAGAGTAAGCTCGATAAATTTCGTAATGACTTCATGCCCAACATCGATGAAAAATTTAAAGCTATGAAAAGTGACATTGACCTAGAACTTGCAGTACACACAAAAGAAATAGAATCATTGTCACAGTCTATTGACTCTATGTTAGTCCGCATTGAGAAACTCGAACACTCTCACACAGCTGATCAGTCGTCGCATTTACCTGGGCATGTAAACAATGCCAATCCTCTGGATGACCCAGATCTTACAGTTGTAGCTATGAATGTAAAGTTTGACGAAAATTGAGAACATACTTCAAGTTGCTCAAGATCTAATAAATCATCTTGATGAGAGTGCAAACGTACGGGCCGCTACCCGTCTTAATTGTAAAGCACGAGGAAAACCGGGTCTCGTTAAGATTGCTGTCTGATCACTGAGTGAAAAGAAAGCCATTCTACTTGAAAAACGTAAACTCCGAGATATAGAGGATTATAAAACTGTGTTTATTCGATCAAGTAAATCACATACAGAGAGGTTGATTGAACTGAACGCTCGTACGCTGCTCAATGAGCTACCCCACGGTAACCAATTCCATATCACATCTAACGGTCGAATCATAAAGAACAAGATGTGTTTGTGAAACACTGATTCCCCCGTATGGCAGCTTATGGCGAAGGTTAAAGTTTCTCAAATGCAAGTCAAAATCCAGGCCAAAAGATAAAAAATGTTGGTACCCAAAGAAAGGTCTTGTCGCGAGGAATATACCTGTGAAATTTGAAAGACCTAGCTGCAACTGTTCAAAAGTTATGGCGAAGGTTAATTTTTTTTAAAAGTAAGTAAAACGTCAAGGTCAAGGTCTAAGTGGTTGGTATCCAAATGAAGGTCTTGTCACAAGGACTACATATGTGAAGTATGAAAGCCCTAGCACCAACCATTCAAAAGTTATGGCCAAGGTAAAAGTTTTCAGAAAGTAGGTCAAACCCCTATGTCAAGGTCAAAGGGTCAAAGTGGTTGGTATCCAAAGGAAGGTGATGTCACAAGGATTACATATGAGAAGTATGAAAGCCCTAGCATCAACCATTCAAAAGTTATGGGCAAGGTTAAAGTTTTTCAAAAGTAGGTCAAACTCCTAGGTCAAGGTCAAAGGTTCAAAGAGGTTGATATCCAGAGGAATGTCTTGGTACAGGGAATACACATTTGAAGTTTGAAACCCCAAGCATCAACTGCTCAAAAGTTATGGCCAAGGTTAATGTTTTTCAAAAGTAGGTCAAACTCCAAGGTCAAGGTCAAAAGCTCAAAGTTGTTGATATCCAAAGAAAGGCCTTGTCATAAAGAATACACATGGTAAGGTTGAAACCACATGCACCAACTGTTCAGATGTTATGGCCAAGGTTAAAGTCTCATAAAAGTTTGCAAAAGTGGGTAAAATTCCAAGGTCAAGGTCAAAAGGTCAAATATGATGGTACCCAAAGAAACGTCTTGTCAAAAGGAATACACATGTGAAATATGAAAGTCATAGCTTCAACCAATCAAAAGTTATGGACAAGGTTAAAGTTGACAACAGACAGATAAACAAACAGACAAACAGACAAACGGACAAACAAACAGACAGGACAAAAATAATATACCCCGGGATCTTTTGATCCAGGGGCATAAAAATCAGGCAGCAGACCAAGAACGAAGGAACACGATTAGGGAAATTCCCGACCCATCGACACTCTACGTATTGGACATTTGAATGTGCGTGGGTGGACTCAGGCTAATAATGCACTAAGATCTGAAATAATAAAACATTTAAACTGTGATATCATTAGTCTAAATGAAACTCACTTATTAGATAAAGATGTGATTGAGTTGAAAGACTATGGATATAGATGGATATGTTATAATCGTACACAAACTCATATTCATGCCCCGAAGGGATCGGGTGGTGTCGGCATTTTAACTAAATCCAGCTTATACAAAGCTTACAATGTTGAAAAAATTGACCAATCATACGAGGGTATATTGGGTGTGAAATAATCAAACAAACTTACAGACTTCACGTTTATTGTGTATTCTCTGTATTTATCTCCTGAGAACTCTCCCTGGGGTCGCGACGCCCCATCTTTTTCTCGCATCTTCTGACAAAAGTATATCTTCATTGTGAAGTTGATGCTATTGTTTTATGTGGGGATTTGAATGCTCGCATTGGAAATACCCAAGAAACTAATGACTGTTTTGATAAGATTCCTTCTCGTCTATTTATTGATAAAACTCAAAATCAACATGGTAAATCATTTTTAGAATTCTTAAACGATAGTCGATATTCTATTTTGAATGATCGTTTTGGTGACGAATCGAAGGAATGTACGATTTATTCAACCCGTGGACACTCAGTTGTAGACTATATCTGCATTCCTCATGAAAACTTCTCACTGTGTCATAATTTTCGAATTATAAAGTGCAATGATATAGTCGAAAAATACAATCTTATTAACTTTTTGGGAGAAAGGAGTAAAGTTCCAGACCAAAACGCATTACTTTTTGATTTAAAATGTATTCAGAATTAACGTCTGGAAATCAACGCATTGGACAAAGCAAAACACGATTCAATTTTAAACGAATCCCAACTGACTTCATGATGTCACCGACTACAGGTACATACAGCTATAAACACTTTAATCGGACAGATCGAGCGGTGTCATGAGACTCATAATCAAGTGGACAGTTTATATAGAGAATTCCGAGATATTTTGACTCGTGAGTTGTCGGAGAAAATTCCTATATACGACTGTTCAAAACATGCGAGGAAACGTCTCCGTCCGCACAAGCCTTACTGGAATGACGAACTTACGGAATTATGTAGGCTCATGTGAGAAATGGGGAAAAAAGTTTTTAAAGTGTGACCCAACGAAAAGAAAGGTTAAAACAAACACATGGACAATGGTACAATGAATCACAAAATGCTTTGGATAAGCGAATTCGTTTTTATGAAAGAAAACACAAAAAAGAATATATGCTTTAAATATTGAATCAGTGTGTTAAAATAACCCGAAACAGTTCTTTGATCAAATTAAAAAAGTAGGTCCTCAACGTAAAATCAAGTTTCCAACTGAATGTTATAACGTTGATGAGGAGGTTACTTCGAATATCGACACGTTGAAATACATCTCAGAAAAGGAGTTTCGTTACTTATGTAACCATGAAAGTGATTGCAAATTCGACGACGATTTCAAAACCAACGCTGTAATGTATAAAGAACAAATGGAACGTAATATGCTCGATCCTCTTTACGTACCGAACGCCTATAAATAGCCAAATTACAGAGGACGAAGTTCAAAAAGTTGTGATGAAATTTAAATCTGGAAAATCGTGTGGTATAAACGAGCTTCCGTGCGAGGTGCTTAAGTCGGACACAGTTATAAAAATTCTACATAAGATTATGCTGTACTTTGATACCGGAATTATACCCTCAATATGTCGTAAAGCAATAATTTGTCTATTACTAAAGGACCCATCCTCCGACCCTCTGCTTCCATTGAATCATCGAGGAATAAGCCTTCTCTCTGTTGTAACTAAAATTTAAAATTCTATTCTGAACAAAAGACTGGTGACTTACTTAGACGATAACGATCTTTTAGTCGATGAGCAAAACGGATTCCGGTGTAAAAAATCCTGCTAAGATAATGTATTTACCCTAAATAGTATAATCAAAAACAGAAATTCCACGTTTGTTACTTTCATCGATTAAAAAAAGAATTCGATATGGTAGATAGAGAGTTGATGGAATACAGTTTACTTAAAAAGGGAGATCATCACTCCCCAACGCTGTTGCCTTGTTCATCAACGATCTTGCTGTACAAGTAAAAAAATTTAAACAATGGAATTGAATTCGGTGCCAACAAATTGAACGTCCTTCTATACGCAGATGATATAGCGTTGATTGCGCAGAATGAGGCTGACATGGACGAAATGCTTAAAGTTGTCTCTAGCTGGTGTAAAAAGTGGAGGCTGTGTATAAACTCTACCAAATCTAAAGTAGTACACTTCC